CCCCCCCCCCCCCCCCCCCCCCCCCCGTCTCTCCAGATTCCTCCCTCTGAATGTCTTCCCTGATCCCTGCACACCCAGCTTTTTGGTCACTGAGACAAAATACTCAACACTCACAATTTAAAAGAAAGAGCAGTTTATTTTGGCTCACGGTTTTCAGAGGGTTCAGTCCATGGTCCACTAGCTCCAAGGCAGGAAGGGACTGGTGGGGGACAGCTGCTCATCCACAGCAGCCAGGAAGCAGAGAAGGGAGGGGCAGGGAACAAGGACACACCCTTCCAGGTCATGTTCCTGGGGACCTACCCTTTCCAACCAGGGTCCACCTCTGGATGTGAGACATTTGGGGGATGATTTAGATCTAAACCATGGCATGTCATGGCCCACGGAGACCGTGGCTTCTCTGAGAAGCCACACAGACCTCTGCAGCCTGAGAGCTCTGTCCCACATCATGCATGGACCCGGATCCTCTCTCCTCAAGCTGTCACGTCCTTCCTGCACTGGTGCTGCACACTGGGGATGTCACCAGCCACGGGGCTGGCTCTGTCCTGGCACATCTTAGTGTGACAGGTCACCATACCTCCCGGGGCTGATCTCAGCGTCCTCAGGGCCCAGTCTTCCCAGCAAACTCTTGACACTTCCCAGGTGGTGAGGTGAGTTCTTCCCAGCCCGAGCCATCTCCCCTGCAGCCAGGTGTCCCTTCTGTCTCCAGGGAGGCCTGGCTGGAGCTGGGTTCCTGCCATGTGTCCCTAGTATGGTGCTGTGTGACAGCCCAAGGTCCAGCTATCCTGGGCTTTGCCCTCCTCCTCCTAGCTGCCTTCCCTAGGTTCATGGGCCACATGTGCCTCTACCTGGGCACATGTGGAAGACATGATTCTGAACCTCCTGGCTTCGGCTCCTGGGGCTTCTGCCAACCCATGTCACTTGAGAGCTTCCACAGACATCACTTGTCTGGTGTCACTGAGTGCCAGGCACTGGGTCACGCTATGCCCTAATGACCTTCTGTGTCCCATGCCAGTCTTACAAGGTCACTGTGACACAATTTCTGTTTTGTGTACAAGAATGCTGAGACGTAGAGGACTGATAAAAAAAAATTATGGTGTGTTGCCCATCATGGTGGCACACGGCTGTAATCCCAGCACCAGGGAGGCTGAGGCAGGAGGATCACTGTGAGTTTGAGGCCAGCCTGGGCTACATAGTGAGTTCAAGGCCAGCCTGAACTACAAAGTGAAATCCTCCTGTCTCAAACAAAACAAAACAAAACAGTGTGTTTAAATAAAAATAATTTATTACAGTAAAAGACACATTGCCATAAATTTCCCTCAGATCCTTCCCTTTGCTTTGAACACATTCATCTCATCATTCTTGGCACTTTCTGAATCAGTTCTGGAAGTCCTCTTTTGTGAGTGTCTTTTCAAGACTTACCAAAAATCAGTAAATTCTGTTGCCGAGCAGCAGAAAGGCAGCTCAGGAAAACATGACACTGTGTCCTCACCTACCTCAGTCACCGGATCTGGCACCATGTGACTTCCAGCTCTTCCCCAAAGTAAAAATAACCATGGAAAGAAAACATTATGAATAAACTCGGGACATCGAGGCAGCCAGGACAGCACAACTAAAGACACTCAATGTGTCTTTTACAGAAAAAAGAAAAAGAAAAAAAACCCACCATATTTTTTTTAACGCACCTTCTGTAGTGTCACAGGTCCACCCCTAGTCCAGGGCAGAAGTGGCCCTGGAACCCATGTTCAGAGCATGTGAGACAGTGGTAGCAGCTTCCTCCCCAGCTTCCTGTCCACGAGGCCACCCCCCTCCAAGCCCTGTTGTCCCTGCAGCCATCTCTAGGTCCCTGCTCCTGCCAGCCTCGGGCATGCTCTGCATTGCAGGTAGCTCTGTATTGTAGATTCCTCCCCTCTGTGTCCCCAACGGGGCTCACCCAGAGATGAGCCATCTGTCCATGGAATCCTGGTGTGTCCGGGCTGGTAGGAGCCTGAGACTTTACCTGACCTGTGGTTTTCAAACCAGAACATAGAAGTCCCAGTGAGAAATCAGATCGATAGAGGGAGGTGGTGTACAGACTCCACCTGGTGCAGTCCCCTGCCCTAGACTCCTGGTGCATACTGGGAAATAGTTGCCCACCTGTCCCCTCCATGGTGCACAGCAGGATGGGACACTGAAGTTCTGGGCACGGAGGATCAGCTGCTCAGCTCATAAGGACCTTGTGCCTTCATCACTAACTGAGGATGTAAATGGCAACAACTCACTTTCCCTAAGATCTGAGCATTGCAGGCCTGGGCCTGACCTTGGCTCCCACTGCCCATGCACAGAGCTGTGTGATCACGAGCAAGTCCATGACAGAACCTCTGTAGCTCTCCATCTCCTCTTGGAAAAATGGCAGCAATCACAGGACATACTGGTTTTAGTTTTCTGCCACTGTGTGAGAACTATCCTGGCACACAGAGGCTGGCAGTCAGTGTGGTGGTGTCTCTCCTGGGTGGCAGCTGGCTGGGCTCAGCTGGGTGGTTCTTCTTGTGGCTGCTCCACAGCTGCAGCCAGATGGGGCTGGGCTGGAGCCATTTGCAGGGCTGGCACAGATGCCAGGCAGCCAGAGGGCTCCGCGTCCGTGTGGGCTTTCTTGCTGCCAACCAGACTCTTCTATAGCAGCTTGGAGCCCCCCAGAGGCTCCAGTGGAGCTTCCAGGCCTTCTTAATGCTCAGGCT